GGGGGCTCATTCGCGCGTCCACCCGATATTCGCTAAAAGCCAGAGGAATTCATTGAAACGTGTTATGCCGAGAGCCACTCGAGGCCAGCGTGCAAGGCGACATACCCCCTGACAGAATCGAGATCTAACATACACACTGTCGAGGTTGGAGTGATTAATGTGTGTCGATATATCAGACGCGGTGAGTCTTAGTAACGCAACAAAACCTTACGCTGGAGCATACGGCTGCTCAGTGAAATACTATTCCCTTTCTTGACCTTCAGCTTCAGCACGCAGTTCTGCTGCGTTTGGTGACTGACAAACAACCATGATGCCGTTTGGCCCGCAATTAACCTAATGTTATCAATTTGGAAGACAGACAACGTCACACTGTTAAGACGCCTGAACACTTATAAGAATCTGCCAGCGGAGCAGAAAATTCCAGATAAATGTCGTCGCTCAAATGTTCAACCGTAAATCGGCACACCTGACTGGTATCCGGCTTGCAATCGCGAGTTGCTTCAGTTTTCTCAAAGAGCAAATACGCTTAAATGTTAACTGGATCAGTGAGACATTGACATGAAAGTATTCATCCAATTCTAAGACAGACTTCCAACCTTTCAGTCGACAGCTGGCAGTCAGAATTCAAAACAGGGGGCACAGGTAGGTGTACTTTATTCGAAAGAGTGTTCAGTGGGTTGTCGTTAGCCATTTTCTTCAAGCTACCCATTTCTCGTTGTCGACTGCTCAAGAAATCCCGTAGAAGTGACTTTCACCGATCTATCCCGATCACAGAACGGGACGGGTGCTTTGTTTTACTTTACTGACACCATATAGCGACGAAAAATCCATGATCCAGTATTTTAGCCTAGGGACGACGACGGACAGCCGACGAAAAAACGAGGTTTCATAGTCGGAAGTTCTCCTCAATATTATTATTAGTCTGGTGATAAGTTGACTTTTAAACTCAGCGGTCATAAAATATTTAAAGAATATCAGGCATAAACTCGGGGGTATTCAAGATAAGGTGAAGAAAGGATAATTTAATTGGAAAGTCAATGGTAATTGGGAAGGATGGAGGATAGTTTCGTAAACAACAGAGACTCACTTGAAGCTTCACTTGAATCGAATGCAGTAGACGAGGAAGGTCCTTTGGCACAATCTTTTCACCTAATAATCGTCCGAGGCAGTGCAGGTAATGGCCCAGCTCAATCATTCGGAAAAGCAAGATAACTGGGTCGTTGGAAACGTCCTCAACGAGGCTGTTAATGTTTTTGGCCACAGCCACCAATTCAAACTCCTGAGGTGTGTAATGCAAGTGATCAATGAGTGCAATCAGCATGTTCGGAATCATGAGCAGATGATCCGCCATGGTGATGCATGCAGCGAAGTTACGCGTGGCAATATCCGCGTCCACCATAACGATGTCATCAATGAGAAGTGAGACGGTGTCTCTCAGGACAAGTAGGACCTCCTGTGCCTCGGGCGTTATTTTCTCCGAGGTGATGAGTGGCTCCAGAGACGAGCCGTGACGCTCGGACTGGTATTCCTTGTGCCGCAGGGACAGGGAATGTTCACTGTCTTTATAGAACACATTGCCATATGGAAGATAGGCGTTGGTCCATTTGAGCACATTCGGGTTTCCTGTGTCTGAATCGCCATCGAGACCTGAAGAGGAATTGAACCCCTCACCTTTCCTTCTGGTGATGCTACTGCTACTGCTGCTGCTGCTGCTGCTTGTTGAACCACAAGCCTGACTTCCATTGTTGCATGACCAGACCTTCAGTTTATTCCGTGCCCAGGCCAGATCTGCGTTGCTCCACTGTCTTCCCTCCGTCAGAGCCTTCAAACAGTTAGCTTTCCAAACAGCAACCGAGGGTTGTTTTTGATGAAAAAAGTTCCGCAAAGCCATGATGCGCGGCGGTAGTCTTACAGCCGAGAGTCCCTCATGATCCTCCGGCTGTGAGATATCTTGGTTAATGCTGCAATCACTGACGTTGACCTCGAGGTCCGCAATACTATTTCGTTTTTGCACCAATATTTTGCAATTCGTGAGTCTGTCAGGTGAGACTTCTCCATCGGCCGCTGATATGGACCTTCGGGGGTGGACCCTTGGTCTACGCACAGCAACCGATGGAGAATTTAGGGTTTTCTTCCTAAGTGCCAAAGCAGACACTTTGGAGGGCTGCAACCTTGGGTCGCGGAAGAAGCCATTCTGGTTTCCATTAACAGTTACTCTCGACGAAGTCGTACAGAGTTTGTTGGAGCCCACTGGGCGTACTGTCGGCTCTAACTGTTTGCAATCGCTGACCTTTCCTATCCTTGAGCACTCCTGCACCTTCGGAACAGAAAGGCTCCTACTGACAACACCTGTCCCCACTCCAAGCCGTCTGGTGTTATTTGTCTTAGTCATGCTAGGACCTCTAACTTCACAGCCCATCAACATCTTATCATACAATGACGGTCTTCCTTCCAAATTCCTGAGGGGCCTCCAAATATGTGGTCTTATTTGACACTCGACTACATGAGGACAGAACCGCTTGCGTACTCCTGGTATGTTGCTTGTTTGGGAAGTTATTGTGGGCTGTTGCGGATCGGTAAAGAGGAAAAACCCATTTTGGTTGCTGTCAACAGTAGTCAGTGAGCTGCTATATAATCCACTGGGTTTCACACAATAACTGTCATGCAGCAACTTTACGCTCTCCACCAGAGGATATGCTGTAAATACTGACACTCCGAACAATTCAGTTTTGTTGGCTAGATGTTTTGTTGGTTTTGTTATCGACGGAGAAAGAAAGCATTGGAGAAAACGGAGGGAAGGATCTAGGTTAAGGACGCCTTGTTCGCTGAAGTTGGGAGGCAAAAACGAACTGTTGCGTGGTTCGCAGCTTTGAAGTGTGTAAATCCTTGTTAAATCAGAACTTTGCTTCTTTCCAGCATTTATGGTTGATGTCTTTGTAGCCCCCGACGGCCTACAATCGGATGACATATTGGCCAACAATAGCAGTTTTCTTTTCAGAGGCATGAGGGCCCATTCGTCGTATGATGCCTCCGAAAAACGCAGCAGGATATCATTGGAGGCGTTGATACAAAGCTTAGGTTGATCACCTAGAAGACCCATTTTCGTACGTTTGTCATCCCGAGAGCGAAAGCATTTCTGTAAATCTGAAAAGGTTGAAGTAAGGTCAGGTCTAGGGCCTTGGGGAAACGACGTGTTTTCGGTCTGGATTTCACGAGGCGTCATGGCTCCCAACCGCCTATGGATGGCTAACCTTGCACACGCGATAATGCCCGGATCAATAACTCGGAAAAATCGATCGAGCCTACTGCTAACAGACAAGCCATAACACATGTGCACCGAAGGTGATTTTGTGCTAGCAGCTACTTTGTCAGTCGGACTTCAAGTTGACTGACCTGTTCGAATGGCTGTGATTGGCCGAGAACCAGACTGCCACCGGTTCGAGCGTGCAATTACGCACTAGTAGCACAGTGTTGCAGCGGGCGCCCGGACTAGGCTTACTACAGACGTAGATTCTCAAATGACAATGCCTCAATTCATCAGACGCGTTCTGACCGATCATCCAAAAGAAAACCTGGCGAGGTCTACTCATGGAGCGTTTGTCAGAAGCAGAAGTTCGCCACTCAAGCCTCTTCCTCTCTCCTCGATCATTGCCATCGTCTTATGAATAGGCCGTTAGCAGCGCCACACCGATAGCCATATACAACCCAGTTAAAGGACACCGGGAGGCGTTGGCGTTGCAATTTGTAGGCGTTAACCGTTAGTAACTAACACATTTTTATGGCCAATATTCCATGACTACTCAAGCTGATTTTCCAGTGTTCAATTCACTAAAGGTGCTTCTGCTGTCCACTCCGTTCTTCCGCATTCTACCTTTAAGACGCATGGTCCTCAGTTAATTCAGGTTATTGAAGCAATGTTTTCCCGGAATAAATTTGAATCATACAAAGGCGACAAAGCGCGCAGAATTTACTAACGTCATAAATTTCGAGACCTCTCATTCAGCTTCATACGGTCATTACATAGTTATATGACAAGGCGGGGAGCAGGGGTGTCAGCGGTGGGTTCATGTAATGGTCGTGGTGGTCGCTCACTTGCTTGCAGGTGAGACTGCGCCTAGCGTCCACTTGCTGGCACTCAACTCTCACCTGTGGCTCCACGTAGCTGGACTCTGCTCAGCGGCCACACCCCGGGCAACCGTCTCGACCGGCGGGCTAAACCAGGTGAGGGGGCCCTGTGCGCTGTGCCATGTGCACAGGGTTTGCGGATTCCGCTGGATGGAAGATCGGATGGAACCTTGCGTCGGCACTGTCGTGACGTGGTTCGTCTCTGCACGCCGCTGGACAGCCGGTGACGGGATGGATCTCCACATCGACATCGCCTTGACGCGCCCACCTACGCCGTCGGAGACCGCCGCTTACGGCGAATTCGAGTCGCTCTCCACTACAACCCGAAGTCGTGGTCCCATAGTGGAGGTCGGCCGTGCCACAACGGCACATGGGCAGCCCGATACAGGGGCGGCACTGTCAGCCCCCACGAGGGGAAGGGCCTAGAAAAGGTGGCCTAAACATTGCTGGGTACCACGCCGTCTCCAGGCTAGCCAGGACCGCAGACGTCTTATCATGGTCGAAACAATCAAAATCGAAACAACAACAATACCAATAACAACAACAACCATACTCATTCTCCTCATCCTACCTCTTCTTCCTCTTCCTCTGCCTATTCTTCTGCCTATTCTTCTCCTTCGTCACCTTCTTCTCCATCTTCTTCCCGTCGCCCCACTCGTTGTCACCAGACTGGCAGGGTGAGCCCACTCACTCTGGCAGCCTGGAATGTTCGTTCCCTTTTAGACAATCCGAGGAGCAACCGACCGGAACGGAGGACGGCACTAGTGGCACGAGAATTGGCGCGCTACAAAGTGGACATCGCTGCACTCAGCGAGACCCGTTTCTCCGAACAAGGCCAACTGAAGGAGGTGGGTGTCGGCTACACCTTCTTCTGGAGCGGTCGACCCAGGGCAGAGCGACGGGACGCGGGTGTTGCCTTCGCCATTCGGAACGACATCGTGGGACGACTGCCCTGTTTGCCGCAGGGCATCAACGATCGCCTGATGAGCCTCCGCCTGCCTCTCTGGGGAGGCAAATTCGCCACCATCATCAGCGCCTACGCTCCGACGATGACCAACCCCGACGCCGTCAGAGACAAATTCTACGAGGACCTGCACGCCCTCTTGGCGACTGTGTCGAAGGCGGACAAGTTGATTGTCCTTGGTGACTTCAACGCCCGCGTCGGCACAGACCATACTGCCTGGAGAGGAGTGCTGGGTGCCCACGGTCTCCGCGGCTCAAACGACAGTGGTCTGCTGCTTCTCCGCACCTGCGCAGAACTCCGCCTCATCCTGACGAACACGTTCTTCTGTCTGCCGGAGCGAGAGAAGGCCACCTGGAGGCATCCTCGGTCGCGTCAGTGGCACCTACTGGATTACGTCCTCGTCCGGAGGCGAGATCAGCGGGACGTGCTGGTGACGAAGGCGATCGCGGGTGCTGACGGGTGGACCGAACATCGCCTCGTCATCTCGAAGATGCGTATTCGCCTACAGCCTTGCAGGAGACCACAAGGTAAGCGACCCCCAGGTAAGCTGAATGTTGCCTTGTTGTCTTTGCCCGCTCACCATCTTCATTTCAGCAGTGAGCTAGCTCAAAAGCTAGTCAACCTTCCTATCGCTGCCGACGACGACGCCGCCGCTGCCGAGAACGCCTCCGTGGAGAACCGCTGGTGTCAACTGCGAGACACGGTCCAGTCGACGGCGCTCGCCGTCCTCGGTCGCGCTCCCCGCCAACACCTGGACTGGTTCGACGACAACGACGCCGCCATCAGAAATCTGCTAGCTGAGAAGAACCGCCTACACAAAGCCTACGTAGATCACCCCACTGATGCCACCAAAGCTGCCTTCTACCGCAGTCGCCGCCAACTTCAGCAACGACTGCGCGAGATGCAGGACGCCTGGACTGCTCGCAAAGCTGAGGAGATCCAAGGGTACGCGGACCGCAACGAATGGAAGAACTTCTTCTCTGCGATCAAAGCTGTCTACGGTCCGCCGACGAAGGGCACTGCTCCTCTCCTCAGCGCCGACGGCAACACTCTCCTGACTGAGAAGGACGCAAATCCTACAGCGATGGGCCGAGCATTTCCGAGGCGTCCTCAACCGCCCCTCCGTCATCTCCGACGCCGCCATCGAGCGTTTGCCGCAAGTGGAGACCAACGTGGACCTCGACCTCCCGCCATCTCTCCAGGAGGCCATCAGGGCCGTGCAGCAGCTTTCCAGCGGGAAAGTACCCGGATCGGACGCGATCCCTGCTGAGGTCTACAAGCACGGAGGTCCCCAACTGATGGATCACCTGACTGCGCTTTTCCAAGAGATGTTGCGTCAAGGTGAAGTCCCGCAAGATTTCAAAGACGCAACCATCGTGCATCTCTACAAGCGCAAAGGGAATCGGCAAGTCTGCGACAATCACCGCGGCATCTCCCTACTGAACATCGCCGGGAAGATCTTCGCTCGCATCCTTCTCAACTGCCTCAATAACCATCTGGAACAGGGCCTTCTGCCGGAAAGCCAATGCGGTTTCCGTCGACATCGTGGGACCACGGATATGATCTTCGCTGCCCGTCAACTTCAGGAGAAGTGTCAGGAGATGCGGACACACCTGTACTCTACCTTCGTGGACCTGACGAAAGCCTTCGACACGGTGAATCGTGAAGGACTGTGGAAGATCATGCAGAAATTCGGCTGTCCGGAGCGATTCACTCAGATGGTGCGTCAGCTGCACGACGGTATGATGGCGCGAACACGGACAACGGAGCTGACTCAGAGGCATTCGCAGTGACCAATGGAGTGAAGCAGCGCTGCGTACTGGCGCCTACCCTCTTCAGTCTTATGTTCTCTGCCATGCTGATGGACGCCTACCGCGACGAACGTCCCGGGAACCGCATCGCCTACAGGACGGACGGTCACCTCCTGAATCAACGGCGAATGCACTTCCAATCGCGCGTATCCACAACCACCGTTCACGAACTCCTCTTCGCCGACGACTGCGCCCTGAACACCACCTCGGAAGAGGAGATGCAACGGAGCATGGATCTGTTCTCCGCCGCCTGCGAGAACTTCGGTCTGGTCATCAACACACAGAAGACGGTGGTGATGCACCAACTGCCACCCAACTCGGCCACAGCCCCCAACACGCCGCCGCAAATCTGCGTGAACGGAACCCAACTGCAAATGGTGGAGAACTTCCCGTACCTGGGCAGTACTCTCTCCCGCAACACCAAGATCGACGAAGAAGTAGTCAACAGGATCTCGAAAGCCAGTCAAGCCTTCGGTCGCCTCCACAGCACAGTTTGGAATTGCAACGGTCTTCAGCTGAGCACGAAGCTGAAGATGTACAAGGCCGTCATCCTGCCGACACTACTGTATGGAGCGGAGACTTGGACGGTGTACGCAAAGCAGGCACGTCGTCTGAACCACTTCCACCTCAGTTGTCTTCGTCACATCCTGAGCCTAAAGTGGCAGGATCGAATCCCCGACACTGATGTGCTGGAACGGACGGGAATCCTCAGCATCTACGCCATATTGAGGCAAATTCAGCTGCGCTGGAGCGGCCACCTGGTGCGCATGGACGACGAGCGACTACCCAAACGACTCTTCTACGGAGACGTCGCGACAGGTTCTCGCCGTCAAGGAGGCCAGATGCACCGTTAGATGGATACCCTGAAGTCCTCCCTGAAATGCCTGCAAATCAACCCCACCAACTGGGAGCAGCTCGCACTCGATCGACCGACCTGGAGGAGGACAGTGAAGACAGGCGCTGCGATCTACGAAGCCAACCGCATCGCTGTCGCCAAAGCGAACCGTGAAGCCCGCAAATCACAATTTCGCCCAGTAAGCAACGCCGCCACACAACCGCTTCCAACGTGTCCTCGATGTCAACGGACATTTCGGGCTCGAATCGGACTTGTTGGACATCTTCGGATTAACTGCGCCTCTCGAACGGCACCAACCATCGTCCCCCCGCCAGCCTCTTCCTCCTCCTCCTCCTCTCCGCCGCCAACTAACCCTGGCAATTCTTCTGACCCACCACTTCCATCATCATCATCATCATCATCATCATCATCATCATCATCATC